TTATGTATATCTAAAAAATTTTAAACTTAATTTAAATTGTTAATTTTTTTTACTTAACTTTTTTGATTTTTAAAAATCTATTTGGTTGTTTGAGACAAGGTCTCACTGTGCAGTCCAGGCTGGCCTTGAACTCACTATGTAGCCCACAACGGCCTCGAACTCACAGCCATCCTCCTGCCTCAGCGCCCCCACCCCAGCGCTGGGATTAAAAGTGTGCACCACCACACCTGGTGAGTATAATCCTCAAAATGTAAGTTCTGGGTTGTTGTTTTTTTTTTGTCTTTTGGAGACAGGGCCTCGCTATGCAGTTGAGGCTGGCTCACGCTCTCGGGGAGCGGCTGTCTCCCTCTAACACCAACGTAGGCGATGTGGTGGCTGGGCAGTTATGGACCTCAGAGTCAGCAAGCATCATTTAAAGCCAAAGACACCGAGATGAATAGGGCTTAGCAGAGACCACCTATGCGTTTCCTGTTTGGAGTAGTCAGCCAGGGACTAGGAGTGAACTGGCTCCAAGGCAGGGTCTTGCTATGGAGCCTAGGCCGGCCTTGAGCTTGCAGCGATCCTCCTGCCTCAGCCTCCCCGAGCGCTGGGATGACAGGCGTGCGCCACCACAGCCAGCAAACAGCTTTCTTTTCAAAAGAGCAGTCTGTCCTTAAAGTCCATCCCAAAGTGTAGCCCCACGCGTTCTCAAGCTCATCATCAGAAATCCCTGGGGCCACCGGGATGTGGCAGCCCACGCCTGTAATCCCAGCGCTCGGGGAGGCTGAGGCAGGAGGATCGCCAGTTAGAGTCCCACCTGGGCAATTTAGCCAATTAGTGAGACTCAGACTTTGAAAAGGGCTGAGATGTACTTCAGTGAAAGGCGCTGGGTTCACCCACACACACACTGGAAAAAAAATCTGGGCCAAGCCAGCTCCCCTCCTTCCTGTTCCTTTTGCAGAGCTCAGACCAACTGGCTGCGATTTTCCCATAGAACCCCTCAATGGCGGAATGCTGTTATTTGAAATTCGAAATATCGGCTCCTAAAGACAATGACCACAACTCATATTTTCCTGCACCCTCAAAGTCTTTGATTTATTTAATCATCACTGAATTTTCCCTTAATGTTCTTTTTTGGAGACAAGGTCTCGCTATGCAGTTCAGGCTGGCGTTAAACTCACTTTGTAGTCCAGGCTGGTCTCCAACTAACAACAACCCTCCTGCCTCAGCCTCCTGAGTGCTGGGATTACACCCGGCCTTCCCTTAATGTTCTTCACCTTCTTTAACTATGGAATCTAGAACTACACCTAACTCTCCTAGAAGTTTAACCAGATTGCCTTATAAAGGAACGGAAAATCCATCATCCTTATCTCTTAGCTCTCATTTTTAAAAATTATCAAACTCGTGCCGGGGAGATAGCTCAGTGGTACCAGCGCCTGCCTGCAAGTGCAAGGTCCTGAGTTAGATTCCCGGTGCAAAAAAAAAAAAAAAAGAGTCCTCAAACTCTTACTGATCCAGCTAGTATTTACCAGTCACTATGCCATCAGCCATCAGCATGCACTGTTTTAAAAAGTTTACCCTTCATTTGTTTTCTTTACTCTGCTGCAAGGGAAGGCGCATTTGCTTTAAAGAGTCCCCTCACCCGCATTACTGGATTCGATCGGGCGATCTCCCAGCTCGATTCTTGTGATCCCGAGGTGCTATGCAGCTTCTCTTCCCACACGGGCAATTCGCTTCTGAAGCCCAAGCCCAAAGTCCACCGCTCAGTTCCACTTCTGACCACTAGGTGGCACCAGGGCTTTGACTACCTTAGGAACTAGAAAAATGCTGGGGTCTGCCTTCGGTGACTTGTAAATCTTTGATTAATACTTTCTTTTAAAATAATTGGCTTATTTTTATCGGCGGGCTATAATAAGGTGCCCCTTCGGCCATTTATTCCTATGATCTGGACTAACGAGAAGAGCAGATAAAAATAAAATCACATGCGACTCATTCTTCAGCCTCCTGCCCTCTCCGCCGGCTCTGAGCCGGATGTAGACTTAGCAGCTTTGCTTCTGGCGGCAGCAGCCTCCGGCAGCGCCAGGGGCACATCTGGACTTCACAAGGTCAGATTCCTCTGCAAGCTTGAACGGGTCTGTGATAATCTGCTGTTGAAAGGCAAACCAAAAGGAAAAGGGGAGTTAGCGGTGTCCTGACGTACCCAAGCACTAATACTGTTTAAATTGACTTCCTAAGAAAGGACCTGAACTCTTACAGTTCCATGGGGTCCTGGGAGTAGCATCACTCGTTCTAGTGTGAGGGCGGACCTCTCTAATCGGGTTATTGCTACTTTCAAGGTAAACCTCACTAAGCCGGGTGTGGTGGCGCACGCCTGTAATCCCAGCACTCGGGAGGCTGAGGCAGGAGGATGGTTGCAAGTTGGAGACCAGCCTGGGCTAGAAAGTGAGCTCAAGGCCAGTCTGAACTGCACAGAGAGACCCTGTCTCAAAGAAAACAAGGTAAACCTCACTGACAGCTTCTGAAAGGTAGCCCTGTTGTGCCACAGGGCTGGTTCCACTCAGTTGATTTTGTATTCTGTGAGACCGAGAGATCTTGGAAGCTGAGGTACCGATATGCAGAAAGTCCTTTCCCAACTTCTAATCTCCGGCAGTAAAAATGTGCACAAACAAAGTCACACACACCAGGTGTAAGCAGTAACGTGTAACTGCCCATGTCCAAATGTTGAGATTGCCAACAATGGCAGAGTGAGTGGAATTTGCCAAGGATGAAATGCCCGTCGTTATTTCTCTTTCTTTCACTTTTTTTTTGTTGTTGTTGTCTTTTTGAGACAGGGTCTCACTATGCAGCTCAGGCTGGCCTTGAGCTCACTTATGCAGCCCAGGCTGGCCTCGAACTCGCGATGATCCTCCTGCCTCAGCCTCCCGAGTGCTGGGATTACAGGCGTGGGCCACCACGCTGGGCTTCCTTCTTTCACTTTTAAATGAGACACCTCCAATAGTAGTACCAAAGGACCAGAGAAAACCCAGGCCCAAAGATAGGAAATTAAGAGCATGAACGAGTCACCGTAAGCAAACAGCAATGAACTCATCAAACACAAATGTAAGCTGTCACTCTCTCTGGCTGCCCACACTCACAGGAGGGCGTACCAGGCAGTCCCGGCTCGACCTTCAGGAACCCAGACATCTCGTGGGCCTCTTCCTTTCCTGAAGAACCTCCCCGGTGGCCTCAGCCTCGCTGGCCTCAGTTTCCACCTTTCTAAAGTGCAAAGCTCTGTCTGGTCCTGCGCTCCCTCTCAGGCAGACCAGCGGCTGGCCGGGGCCCTGCACATCCAGGGGGACGGCATGCCGCGGTGCCTGCCCCCTTCCCGCACTTCCCCGCTCAGGACGCCGGCGCTCTTGGTGCGGAGAGGTTCCCTGCCATCTTTTCACCCAGAAAAACTACTTTTGTTTTTTTGAGGCAGGGTCTCGCTATGGAGTCCAGGCCGGCCTTGGATTCCCAGCGACCCTCCTGCACGCACCGCCAGCCTGGCACCCAGAAAAGTGAGCTCCACACTCTTCTTCCCACCGTCTTCTCTACACAGTGCGTGCCGGCACCAACACCACCTCCCAAAGCCGCCTCCTTGCCCAGAAGAACTCAAGCCGCGGAGGGAGTCGAGGCGGGAACCCGGGTAAGCCGTCCTCTGCCGCACCAGCACCCTGCGGTCTACACAAGCGCGAACACGTACAGCGACGTTCCGGGTACAACTGCCGGCTCTAGGATCAGACTTGGGCTCAAATCTACCGCGTTCCAGCTGTGCTGCCTTGGATATGCGTACGTGAACTCCTCGGAGCCTCGGGGTCTTCATCTGCGAAGTGAGCCCAGGAAAGGTGACTGTGGGGCCCACATGCTGCCTGGTTCACGCTCACTGTTCCGTAAGTTTCAGTGCGGTTGTTTGTATGATTATTACTACTCTTACCCAAAGCCAGACAGTCCACAGCACAAGTCCGGTCTGCACCGTCTTAGAAGCTGCAGTGGTTTCTTGTTTTGTTTCGGTTTGGCTTGGCTTGGGTTGGTGGCGGGGGTTAAGACAGGGTCTCACTATGTCGTTCCATCTGGCTGCAGTGTTTTAATAATGTAATTTTTAAAATAGTGAAATACTCTTTGCTTGCCAGAGTTTGAAAGGGTAGAACTCTCAAAAACCTCCATCGGGGGCCCGGGGTTTAGCTCAGCGGCACAGCGCCTGCCTGGTAAGCGTGAGGTCCTGAGTTCGATTCCCGGTACCAAAAGAAACAACACAAAGTAAAAGCCTCCATAGCCTTGACCCAAAGGCAGCAGCGAGGGGCGCATTCCTCCACTGCGGCACTCGGAGGACAAGGGGGTGTGACGCCCTGAAATGTCCTAGCGAGGGCTTAGATAAGTCTTCAGGCAGAGGATAAGCACATCCTCCTCCCAGAGCACAAGGTCCCATTTCTAGGCCACACAGCTGTTTCTTCTTTTCTTTGAGACAGGGTCTCCCTTTGTAGCTCAGGCTGGCCTTGAACTCACTCTGTAGCTCACAGCTGGCCTCTAACTCCCTCACAGGGATCCTCCTGCCTCAGTCGTTTGAGTGCTGGGATTATAGGCGTGTGCCAACACACCTGGCAAGCTGTTTGATTTTTAAAATCTGTCTTCAGTGTCAATTATCCCCCTTCAAAAGACTTGGAACTTGCACTTAGCCCAGCCCGGGGTGATAAGTGCTGCAGGCCGCTCCCGGTCAAAGGAGCTGAGCCTCAGTCACGTGGTGTCACCACAGGCTGGGAAGACCTTGGTCCGGGTAGGGAGGGTCCGCCGGCGAGTACCAAGTACAGCCAGGCAGGACCAAGGAGTTGCGGTGCGCTGGGCACAGCAGGTTGATGGTCAATTACGATAATGTGCTGTGTGTTTCAGAAAACTGGAAGTAAGGATTTGGAATCTTTTCATCAATAAATGATAAACTTTAAGGAGAAAGGTAATATTTACCCCCATGTAAACATTATACAATGTCTACCTGTATTAAAGCATCACGTGGTTCATCCAAAGTCTGTACAATTTTTATGCTTGTATATATATCAGTTTAAAAAATTTATGACGGCGCCAGGCGTGGTGGTGCACGCCTGTAATCCCAAGACTCGGGAGGCTGAGACAGAAGGATTGCTGCGAGTTCAAGACCAGCCTGGGCTACAAAGTGAGCTCAAGGCCAGCCTGAACTGCAGAGCGAGACCCTGTCTCAAAAAGACAAAAAAAAAAAAAGTCATAAAAAGTTTATGACCAATCTACAAATGTAGCACATAGGTGGCATGACATAAATTAGGCAGGACAGGGAAATGCAGATGGAAACTACACTGAGATTTCACCGCACTCCAGTTGGAACAGCTACTATCAGGGATATAAAAAAGCAATAATTGGCTGGGTGTGGTGGCGCACACCTGTAATCCCAGCATTCAGCAGGCTGAGGCAGGAAGATTGCCTCAAGTTCAAGGCCAGCCTGAGCTACACAGTGTGACCCTGTCTCAAAAACAAAACGAAACAAAGCAATAAATGCTGGTGAGGATGGCAGGGGGTGCTCCCATACTAATGGTGGGAATGTGAACTGGTACAGCCACGGTAGAAATCAGGATGGAGGTTCCTCCAAAAACTAAGACTAGAACAACCATGTGACCCAAATGACTCCTTGGTATAAACCCAAAGGAACTCGAGTCGGCACACTGCAGGGCTGCCTGCATGCCCATGTTTACTGCAGCACAATATACACAGCCAAGGTCGGAGCCACTTTAGTGCCTGTCAGCGGGATAAATGGATAAGGAAAATGTGGCAAGTGTGGTATACACACAGAAAGCGTCACCTGTAAAGAATGCAAATGTCTTATTTGCAGGAAAACAGATGGAATTTGAAATTACTGTGTTAAGTGGAATAATCCAGACTCAGAAAGACAAGTAGCAAATGTTTTCCCTAATGTGCAAAATTACAGGCAGAAAAAGTAGCAGCAGCCCAGGCGAAGTGGCACTGCCTGCACTCCAAGGCCTTGGCGGCTTGGGGTCACCGTAAACTTGAGGCCAGTCTGGGCTACACAGCGAGCTCAAAGCCAGCCTACACTGTGTGGTGAGACCCTGTGTCAAAACACACAGAAACAATGAAAGCAGAAGAGAGGGTTGAGGATATAGCTCAGTGGCACAAGCACCTGCCTGGCAAGCGTGAGGCCATGAGTTCGATTCCCGGTACCAAAAAAAAAAAAAAAGAAGAAGAAGAGAGACAAGCAAACGGGAACCAGGTAGCCTGGGAGAGTTACGAGGAGGTAACGAGATGGATATCAACAAACCGTGACACACGTGGAAGGAAATGAACCCGGTATGTTTTTTTTTGTTTTTGTTTTTTTTGGTTTTTCTCCGGTACCAGGAACCGAACTCACGACCTTGCACTTGCCAGGCAGGCGCTTTTGCCGCTGAGCTAAATCCCCAGCCCCATGAACCCGGTATGTTATAAAATTAATAGATACGAGCAAAATATATCTTAAACAATACTGATGAATAATAATAAAAGAAGTGAGGCAGAATGGCAAGGAGATTTTATGTTGCGATAAACCAGCTCAAATGCACAGACCGTTACAGTTCACTGCCAAGGGGAGGACAGTGCCGCCCTGCACGCAGTCCTGCTGGAGAGCACGCGGCTGCCCCCGCCTGCGCAAGGAGCAAACGTGCTACCTCCTCTGCTTGCAGCAGGAGTTTATCAGAAGCCTCACGGCTACAGGAAACACGCTAACTACTCTGACAATTCTTCTAACCAGTACTCAGGCATCAGCCGAGAGACCAGGGACATGGGCCAGGGGAAGGAAGCACCCCTGGGAAGTCTCAGGCCGGCCATCCACCTCTGTGCGCAAGGGAGGGTGGTGTCGTCAGTGCAGGCGGCCTGCTGTGTGAATGGGGTGTGTGTGTGTCTGTGTGTGTGTGTGTGTCTGTGTGTGTGTGTGTGTGTGTGTGCGTGTGCGCCCTGATGCTGCTGTGTTTGGAAGAGCCACCTGCTGAGTCCACTCTTCCCCCTGGGAAGGGCATCCTGTCCCTTGGCCACTGCTATGGGCAATTCAGTGGTCAGACGTTAAAGAAGGAAGAGCTGATGAATAGATCCCGGGCCTCTCTCCCAGCCAAGCGGGAACCCA